CAAGAAGAAGTCACAGGGGGCCAGATTTGGGGAATACGGTGCCTGTGGCATCGTTACTGTGTTGGTTTTAGCCAAAAATTCGCGCACAAGCAACGATGTGTGAGCAGGGGCGTTATCATGGTGCAAAAGCCAATTTTTATTTTTCCACAAATTCGGACGTTTCTGGCGGATCACTTCGCGCAAATTGCGCATAACTTGCAGGTAATATTCCTTATTTACTGTTCTACCCTGTGGCAAGAACTCATGATGCACCACGCCCTTGCAGTCAAAAAAAACTGTAAGCAAAACCTTTACATTTGATCGAACTTGGCGTGCTTTTTTTGGTCTTGGTGATCCATAATGCCTCCACTGGGACGATTGAGTCTTAGTCTCGACGTCATAACCGTATACCCATGTTTCGTCACCTGTTATAACCCTGTTGAGTAAATCTGGATCATCGTTGACGTCATTCAGTAGCTCTTGGGCGATGCTCATGCGACGTTTCTTTTGTTCGAAATTGAGCAATTTCGGAACAAACTTCGCTGACACACGTCTCATGTCTAAAACACTCGTCAAAATTGATTGGCACGAACCAAATGAGATGCCAATATCATTAGCAATTTCTCTAATGGTAATTCGACGATTTCCCAACACTATTTTCTTCACTTCTTCAACATTCTCATCAGTTGTTGATGTGCTGGTGCGTCCAGAACGAGGTTCGTCGTCGGTGTCTTCTCGGCCTTCTTGGAAGAGTTTATACCACTTGTAAACATTTTTTGGCTTAAAGTAGACTCACCGTATGCCACTTTCAGCATTTCAAGTGTTTTGGAACATTTGATTCCATTTTTCACACAAAATTTAATGCAAACTCTTTGATCCATGTTTTTAGACAGCAGCAAATCGTGGAGCACGCAAAACACTTCTAACCTTGATGCCTCTCACAAACAAACCAAACATACTACAAAGCTGAAATTTGGAATGTATGTTCTAGACGAGTGTACCGACATAACCAAATAAAAAAGTCGAAGATCGAACGGACGTAGCCCGCTAAATTTCAAAATTCACCTTACTTTTTGATCACACCTCGTATATTTGTGAAGACTGCCGCCGAAGTTTGAAAAACTGGAATAAAACTAAAATCGAAGTTGTTCTCCAACCAACAATATGGCGTGAACCTAAAAATCACCATGATAACTGTTACTTTTGTAAATGTGATACTTTAGGTTTTAATCATAATAACAAAGCTTCACTCCTTTATCCGAACGTTTCTAGTGTAACAGCAGCTCAGTATGGAAAAATAAAAAGAAAAAAAAATTCTGATTCTGAGCCATAAAAACTTCAACCAATAGAAGTTCCGGTAACAGACAAAAGCAGCAGTAGTGATGAAGAAGATTTTTCTGACTCAGAAAAGCCCAAACTTTTCGACCAAATTTCTTTGGATGATGTGATCCGTGATTTGAATCTTCCGAAAGATTCTTCGGAACTCTTAGCTTCAAGACTAAAAGAAAGAAATCTTTTATTACCTGAGACCAAAGTTTCTATTTACAGGAAGAGAGATATTAAATTTCGGCCATATTTTACTTGCGTGGATAACCTTGTTTACTGCAACGATATAAAGCATCTCATCAGTTTATATGGAGTGCAAGGAGGTTATAATCCAGAGAACTGGCGACTCTTCATGGATGTATCTGTACAAAGTCTCAACGCAGTACTTCTGCACAATGGGAATGAGTATGCAGCTATTCCCATTGCTCATTCCACTGTGATGAAAGAGTCTTACGATAACTTTCGATTCCTTCTTGAGAAAATCAATTACAATGAACACAAATGGCTCGTTTGTGGCGATTTCAAGATGATCAATATATTAGTTGGCTTGCAATCTGGAAATACGAAGCACCCCTGTTTTTTGTGTCTCTGGGACAGTCGTGCACGAGAAGAACATTGGGTTCGGAAAGAATGGACGAAAAGAATCGGAATGGTTGTTGGATCACACAATGTCGTCCATGAGAACCTTGTTGATACTAAACATATCTTGTTACCTCCACTCCATATAAAACTGGGCTTGATGAAGCAATTCGTCAAGGCAGTAGATAAGGAAGGCGAATGTTACAAGTATCTTCAGGGCAACTTTCCTAAATTGTCTGAAGCGAAAATTAAGGAAGGCATATTTGTAGGGCCAGACATTCGAGCACTTATGAAAGATGATGAATTCCTCTTGACAATGACGACTAATTAGAGAAATGCTTGGATAAGTTTCAAAAGTGTCACCGAGAATTTTCTCGGAAACTACCGGGACCCTAAATACAAAACTATTGTGTCGACAATGCAACAGAATTTTCAAAAATTAGGGTGTTTGATGAGCCTGAAAATACACTTTTTGTTTTCATATTTGGAATACTTTCCGGACAATGTTGGGGCGTTCAGTGAAGAAATGGGTGAAAGATTTCAGAAACAAAGAGAAACATTATCAAGGTAGATGGAATGAGAGCATGATGGCTGACTATTGCTGGGCTCTACACCGACACGATACATTGACAGATCATCATAGACGCAAATCTCTTAAACGTTCATTTCAAGATAAATGACAGCGTTTTCATAAAAAAAAGAAGTGGAAAACTGTAGGGTTGCAGATATTCAGATGGAATACTCATAAACTGAATAAATGAGATTTAAAACGCGTAATTGAAAGCTGCGTAGAATACGAAGGCTTGGATATTGAAGGGATTGAAATACAGAGACATACGGTTATATGATAGCAGCTTGAAGTGCTGATTGAGGAAATTCTGGCAAAGGAGTCTGAGGTTGCAGACTTGCAGGGCTCGAGGGTTGAATATAATTTGGAGGCTTGAGGTATTCTGCGTAGCGAATTTCGGTATGAGGGTTGGGGGTTATAGCGTCGCGGTAATAGGGCTCGAGGGTTGAGGAAATTGGGGTGTGAGGGTCGGGGTTTATAGCTTCGCAGGTTAAAGGCTCGAGGGTTGAGGAAATTGGGGTGTGAGTGTCGGGGGGTTATACCGCAGCAGGTTAAAGGGCTCGAGGGTTAAGGAAATTGGGGTATGTCGGTCAGGGGTTACAAGATTAAAAATCCTAGCTGACCGATTTCGCAAGTTATAGACACTTATATGTAAACGTAAATTGTACTTGTATACGTAAGTTGGATATGAATTTTCCTATCACAGACACAAATTCTTCTACCTTCTTTTACCGCAGAAATGACGTCTATCGTTTTTCCATTGACCCAGCGGTATTCCCCGTCCACCAAACCCGAATTTCTTTAACCCTCGATAGGGCCGGGGGTTATACCGCAACAGGTTAAAGAGCTCGAGGGTTAAGGAAATTGGGGTGTGAGGGTCGGGGGTTATACCGCAGCAGGTTAAAGGGCTCGAGGGTTAAGGAAATTGGGGTATGTCGGTCAGGGGTTACAGCGTCACAGGTTATGGGGCTCTAGGGTTAAGGGAATTGAGATTATAGAGTCATTCTGACGTTAAATTTGGATTCAGTGACCCAAAAAACATATAATTACACTATAACTCCTTATTCGGAAATTCGCCACTATTTCGTGCTGTAACGAAATCGCTAAATCACTCAAATTCAATCTACGATATCTCGATGGAAAAAAAAGATTTTTTAAATCTGAAAAAAGGGTTTTGAAGGATAAGAGTAGTACTTTGAGATAGCATTACTCGTTTTTTAAAATAAAATTGGTTTACGACGTAATACTACGCGAAATATAGTGAAAAATCGTGTTTTTTTAACTTTTAGGTTAGGATTTCTCGAAAACCTAGGGTGATGGAGCAATTCTGAGGTCAGATTCAGTTTCAGCGCACCAAAAACCTTTGGGAACGTACTGTCTGGTTACTAGGTTTTTTTCCTTGTCGGCTCGTGTAATTTTTAAATTATTAATATATTTAACTACGGTATCAATATATTTTTGTTTGCACGAGATTAACTTCCCATTTGTTTTGATTGTTTTGATAGATTAGATTTCTCTTTAACTCGAACTTGAAATTTGAATCGAATCGAATTTTGATCATCCAATGAAAAACCGTTTCAGCGTGATCACGTTCAATCGAAATGATTCGAGTTCAATTCGCTTGCTCGTCTTATAGACCGCAATAATATAAAGGTTAGATAGGCTTTCGTTAAATGTAGTACGTTCAGCGCTACAGTTTTAAACAACAGTCACTTTTGCTCACTACCGGAGCTCGATTACCCTAGCCTGCAAAGTGTAATGGACAATAAAAATAAAAAATACCATTCGAAACATCTCTAATTGAACCCTCCAAAAATGCTCATTATTTTAATTGAACCCCTTCAGTTGTCCCAAAAAAAATTAAAAACTATGATAATTTTTTCGTTTTTTGGAACTGCGATATCTTTAGTAATACTTAATATTTTTGTAAAAGAAACAAGGCAAAAAATTGAACCTTTGCTCGTTTTAATTGCACCCCTCTTACTTTTTCAAAATTATTAATATATATTTCAAAAACAACAATCTAACTTTATTGTATGTTCTTTTTAAATAGATTATTGGGTTATTTGGAAAGAACATACAATAAAGTTAGATTGTTGTTTTTGACATATATATTAATAATTTTGAAAAAGTGAGAGGGGTGCAATTAAAACGAGCAAAGGTTCAATTTTTTGCCTTGTTTCTTTTGCAAAAATATTAAGTATTACTAAAGATATCGCTGTTGCAAAAAACGAAAAAATCATAGTTTTTAATTTTTTTTGGGACAACTGAAGGGGTTCAATTAAAATATTGAGCATTTTTGGAGGGTTCAATTAGAGATGTTTCGAATGGTATTTTTTATTTTCACTGTCCATTACACTTTGCAGGCTAGGGTAACCCCGCTCACTACCGGTAGTGTTGGTACTAAGTAATCGAACTAGATATTTTTAGCGATGTTATTAGAGTTGCGATTCGCGTCCGTATCCGTCCGCATTCATACGTAGCTATGGGACCGGGGCCTAAATGCCAAATGGATATAAATGGCAGGGTCGAGAGATCTGTCCAGCAGTTAACTTCAGACTTCACAATTTTCGCTCTCACTTTACGAAAATTGTGAGGTCTGAAATCAACAGCTGAAAGCTTTTTAACAGAATCGCCCAGCTCTGATAAATGGATATAAATAGAATCAAACAAAATTATTAGTTTGTTTATTTTTCTCAAATTTTGAATTATAAAAGAAAGTATGGATCTCAGTAAAGTGTTTCATCCTATCATTACATCAATACAAAAAATAGCTTTATATGAAACAAAATCTGTAAGCATTATAATTATTACAATAAATACACTAAATAAATAAGTTAATAAAAATATTTTTCATATGTTTTTAATTAGCATTTTTATCTAATGGGTTCAAATAATACATTAACTAGATTTCGAGTTCTCAAAATTGATAGAATGGAACCAAAAAATTTACATGTTATAGATGATAAGATAGAATATACTCAAGATGAAATAAGAGATCTTGTAAAAATGATTGATTTAGGTAATCGAAATAAAACTAATCAAAAAAACAATACAAGTGGAGTTAGTAAATTAGTTTCTGCATTCGGCATTATTGGTAACAATCTTAAATTTTTGACTAGTGAATAAGTTTTATGTTAACGATATTAAACTTTTGATTGTTTAAAAAGTTTATAATTTCTGAATCTCTTCATGTCAATATTTTATGTTGGTTAAATATAAGTTATGTTAATATATCAGTAACACTATATAATAATAATTCCATTATTCTTGTCAATCGATTATATTATTTAAAGATGAATAATGTTAACTTTTATCAATTTATAATACTCAGTAGTATGCTATTATATAGCATATATCATCATTTATTGCTACAAGTTTTTAAAAATAAAATATCTTTGTATTCAAAGTACCAATATATATTTTATTAAAAGTACCATAAAAATATATTTTTGTTAAATAGTATATAAGATTAAAAATAGTGATTTATTCACAATTAATGATTATTTTTAAGCAATAGTTGTTTCAAAATAGGTATTTGAAGTTTGCAGTTCTTTGATTGAAGACTCAAAAACTGAACAATGATTGCAAAAGTGAATAGAGAATATTAATTCCCAAATTATGACACATCTGAATAAATTATTTAAAAACATAGCATCTGTGTAGTATTTTTTACAGATAAAGTAAAGATATGAAATAATGGTCAAATAAAATGCAAGTTTTGTACATGAAATTTCTTATTATATTTGATTTGGAAATTTTATAACCATTCTATGTGATGGAATAGGATGAGTAATCATAAGTATATAGTAAATAAAATCGAAAATAAAAAATAAACTTGGCAGTTACTAAAACATAGATAAATCTATAAAAATAGAACAATTATTTGTTAAAATTTATAAGTTAACAGTTCTTCTTACTTATGCTTATGCTCCACTGAAAATAAGTATACGAATGTTGTATAGAATATTTACGAAATTTGTACAAGAATATATATAAATATTATACAAATTTTGCATGAAATTTTTACAAATTTTGTACGTAATAATCAACTTGTTCTTAAAAATTGAATGAATAAATAATATACGCTTATTGTAAATCAAATAACGTGACAGCTTCTATAGAAGATGAACTATATATGCAAAATGAAAAAATCAAAGAAAATGAATGAGCTAACTAAAATTTGAATTTTACACCTTCATGTTAGCAGATTTGTAATTTACCGTTTTGCTAACGACGACGGTAAGGATACATACGATTTTTTTTTATTACATGGAATGTGAACATTGTTTATGAATTATTCCATCGTATTTATAAATAATTTAACAAAAAAAATAATTAAAAAGAAACACACACACACACAAGTACAATTCTGGTAGTATGAAAGTTTTGGGTTTATATCTCAATCGGGTCGGTTATTCTTCTTTATTTTGTTATTTTTTTATATCTGATTCATCTTGTAAAGATGCCCACGTTATTTTGCTAATAACACAACCTCTCATAATTTCAAAATGGAAAAAATCCAAAAACGAGATAGTATATTTCCGTAAGTTGTCGAAGCGTTTCATCGGAATCTGGCTTGAGAATTGATCCATCACTTAAGGTTCTTGAGATATCTTAACCTAAAAGTGTGAAAATAACGATATTTTGCTATGTTCGAAATTATGTAACACCGTGAATACATTGTTTTTTTTCAAAAACAAAATCATTACAAAGTATCAGTTATTTCCATTAAAACCAATTTTTCGGATTAGAGTTATCTTGTTTTTTCATTAAGATATCATTGATTGAAGTTAAGTACTTTAACCTTGAATTAAACCCCAATTGCCTTAACCTAACCTCTGATCCCTGTAATCTATGACCATATAAGTCTGGGCTTATATAAGGTCCTGGACCTATGAACTTCAATTGTACAAATTTTGCAAAGAATCTGTAGGAAATTTGTACAAGAATAGAATCGAAATCTTTACAAAATTTGGTCCCGACTCCTGTAACCTCAGGCCATATAACCTATGAAAAATCGATAAAAAAATCTCTAATCCAAAAATGTAAGGTTTAAAGAGCAAGAGTATGATGGTTTTATTAGACTTATAAAAAAATTTATTCACAGTGTTACATAACCTTAACATAACAAGTAATCGTGATTTTTGTACTTATGGGTTAGGATATATCGAGAACCTTAGGTGATGGAAGATTCAAATTCAGCTTATCGAATACCGTCGAAAATACACTATAATATTTCTGGGGTTTTCTGAATGTTGGGCATTATAATATGCGTATTTATTCAATTTTTTTGAAAGAGAAATTTCGTTTGAAATTTATACAAAACTTATACAAAAATTGTACCAAACTTGTACTAATTTTGTACACATTTCTTTTGAAAAATTCATGTACAAATTTCGTACGAATATTGCACAAGATGTGTAAAGATTTCGATTCTATTCTTGTAAAAATTTCCTACAGATTCTGTACAAAATTTGTATATTTATTTCCAGTGGGATAGAGGTTAAGTAATAAAAATTATGATTAGATATTAATTTAGACTATCGATGTGAAATGGAGGTACGAAATTGGATCAATAAATACTTAGAAAATCTAAGGGATGGTGCGCAAGGTTTCACAGTGGGAATATTATTATAGCATTAATGGTGCAGAAAAAAAATGTATATAAAAAATTACAGATAGACTACTCTATTGAAAAAAAAATCACGTGATTTTTAACGTTATATCACATGATTATTAAGGAAGACTTGGGATACAAATATTACGTAATATTACGTTGTAATTTGTTTTGTAATATCACATGACTATTAGGGTAGTTCAAAGACAGAAATGCTATATTAGACAGAAATATCATAATATTATCTAATTTATTAAATAATATAACATGATTTTTGGTCAAGTCCTAAGAGACGGAATTCTACGTGATTTCTTACCTGACATCACCTGATTTCTTGTCGAATCCCAAGAGACGGGAATGCTACGCGAATTCATGTGATTTGTTACTTACCATCGTATGACTATTGCACTGTTACGTCTCACAACGTATTTTTGCAGAGCTTTCTATTTTTTAACATTGTACATACAATTCCGAAATTCAAACTCTTGAAGACACTAAAATTATGTATACATTTGCAGAAAATCATTGAACTTACACAAACCCTCACTACGAACGAACACACCGCGAAACAAAATCTTTGTATTCAGCGAATTATGATGTAGCAAACGACGACTATTTTAATTGCTAATGTTGAAAACAAGTAATGTAATAAAGATATTATAAAAGGTCTTACCTACGCTTTTGCGAGCAGTTTTTATAAGTTTTTTTAAAAATTTGTACTTAGAGCTCCGTACCACGCCAGTTCGACAATTCGGTGTTACTTTTACTTCTACTTAACTCATAAAACTTTTATTCCAAACGAACCGTATTAGAAACCTTTCTATTATTTTTTAATAAACACTACTTACAACTTATTTGTTAGCAGTTACAAAGTGAGACTTGTTTTATCGATTTATTTCAACATTACCTATCCTGATTTATAGACGTATTCAACAAACGAGCCCCAAGGTATAATAATAAATAATTATCTACTTAAATAATAGGTTTAACACCAGGTAGTTAACGCCCAAGACGTAACAATAGTTTCCGATACTATTTAAATAAATTTTTGAACAAACAAAACAATAAAAATAAATAAGTGTCAACTGGAAATCCGTAGTCTCACAATAAACGAGGATAAACCAAGCAGATAAACGAGGATAATACATGAGCATAAACCGTAGAGTTTTAGCCAGTTTTTTTATATTTTAACGTATAGTTCTAAATAAATTTGCAGTTCTAAAAAAAAAAAAAAAAATACAGTTCGAAATTTTTACTATAACGCGTAGTTCGGAAATTCGTTTTATAAATAAGAGAGAAAAAACTCGTTTAATTATCTGTCGATAAATTATATTTCTGCATTCTGTATACATATATAAAACGTTGAGCAAATATGAACAGTTTAAATCTCTTTTATTCTTATATTTTATTCAATATATTATTATTCTATTAATGTACTATCACATGCTAAAAAAATTAATACGATTTCTTCAATAGCTGAACTTAAAAACAGCATTTCGTAATTGGAGGCTGTTATACTTTTTTATTTTTTTTTCTGATGAAATCACAGGAGGATCAAAAATACCGTTAAACTATTCTTGCTCTTTAGCTGTTGAACAGTCTTTGTTTTGTCTTTCTTTTTTATCGAGCTACTTACAAATAGCTGGTCTTGGATCCCATGATGCCAACAGTGGCATATTGAAATATATATAGAAATAGGTTTTCACTTTCAACAGAAATTGATGATCTATGAGCAGATTTTAAAATATTTGCTCAACTTATATGTCTTTCAATGTCCACACTGGGGAGTTTTAACATCTAGAATTCTCGATTATATTGTTAAAAAATTAGAACAAGTTTCAAGTTTAATCAAAATCTTAACTATTTCTACCAGAGATAACTTGGTTAATTTCTCATGCAATTTCAAATCTACATCTTCGTTTTATTCTAATTCTAAAGCTGTTTGATTAAGATTTATAGTAACACATTTGTACAATTCTCCAAGGCTTAAAGATTTATCAAAATCTGTAAATAGTTTTAATACTTTATTCGGTAAAGTTAATAAGCGACCGCGATAATTCATTAATTGCAACGTCTCTTTTTCCGGAGACATAAATTGTGCCGAACCGAATATCTTTCATTTGACGTCAACTCAATTCCTTTCAATAAGTACTTTTCTGCTTGAGTGAATACAATTAGCTTATTTAATGCTTCGACTCAGCCACTAAAGGTTTGATTTTTAATCTATTTAATTGTTTGATGACTTGTTACACGTAGTAACTCATATTCAATATGGTTGTGTTATTAATTTGTAAATTATTTGGAATCTAAAAAAATTTTCTAGCACGCCAGCTACCCAAGATAGCAAGTATAAGTTATCTTTACTTGTAAGTTACTTTAATTATCCACGCGGTTCATTCTTATTGCTTCTTTGAAAATATAAAACTAATACATTTCATGATATCAATGTAGAAGTTAGCAACTTTGTTTTATTCTCC